GGCCCGACCCCACGGTGGCGGCGACGCGGCGCCCCGCGGCGGCGGGGCCCTCCGGCGCGGAGAGGGGCGCGCGCGCGCGCGGAGGGGGGCGCGCCTGGGCTGCCAGGCGGAGGGCCGCCGGCGCGGCGGGGGCGCGGGCCTCGGGCGACGACGAGGACGAGGACGACGACGACGACGAGGACGAGGACGACGAGGACGAGGACGACGACGAGGGCGACGAGGGCGACGACGACGAGGACGAGGACGACGACGACGACGAGGACGACGACGACGAGGACGACGAGGACGACGAGGACGACGAGGGCGACGAGGACGAGGAGGACGAGGACGACGAGGACGACGAGGACGACGACGACGACGACGACGACGACGACGACGACGACGACGACGACGAGGACGACGGGGACGACGGGGACGACGAGGACGACGACGACGAGGGGCTTGAGATCTACAGCCACTGCGCTGCCACAGCGAGCGCCGAGCAAGAGACGAGGGGGCAAGCAGTCAGCCAGCAGAACAAGGACGCGCGACGAGGATGCGAGGGCCTGGGAAGGCCATGTCGGCGCTTTGCGGGTGGGGCGCGACCAGCGAAAGCGGTCAAGGATGGACCGAAGGGGCAGTGATGCAAGGGTAACCTTGGAAAGGCGCTCATCCTTCCTACTGCAGGTCCGTGCCGTGTCGACCCTGGCGTTGGTTCCTGACACCGCGCTGGATCGTTCAACCTTGAACGATCGGCCGTCTCCGCAACGTCCGATCGTTCAACATCGACCGATTCTGGGTCGCCTGCGGCGTTCAACCTTGAACGCCCGCGCTGGGGTCGCCGCTGGTCGACACGACGCGAACCTACCGTATACGTGCGGACTGCACAGTCATCGCGCCACCATGACGGACGTCGACTAAGAAACGCACGGGCGTACACCTTGTTCCGGCGAGCCTCGGCCACGAACGAACAAATTCCTCGACGAGAGCCCTGGGGACGGCCCGAGAGGAAGCGCACATCCTGAGCCCGGAGCGGTCCGTGTTTCAGCGTCTCGAGCGCAAGGCCCAAAGGGAAGGACAAGGAATCGGGATGTTTGTCCGAGGCGAACCAAGCAATTCTTCCGGGGCGAGCCACGGATCCTGTTTCGATGCGAAGCGGGAAACCGAGAAACGCGCACCGCGAAGACCGCACGCCGGACCTGGGACCCAGAGCGCCGCCGAAGCGGGGAGAACGTGGGACCTGGGTTCCTCCTCCTCCTCCTCCTCCTCCTCCTCCTCCCCTCCTCATCTCATCCGCCTCCTCCTCCTCCTCACTCCTCCTCTCCTCCTCCTCCTCCTCCTCCTCCTCCTCCTCCTCCTCCTCCTCTCCTCCCCACTAGTTCATCCTCGTCCCCCCCCCCGCTACCGCTCGCCCCCCGCCTCCCCGGCAGCCCGCGCGCTCTCCCACGACATCTCGGACGCCGACGCCGCCGAAAGCGCAGTGGTCTCTACAGCTGCGATTTGCGGCACTCGGCGCAGCCAGCGCACCTCGATAAACCGCGCAGGCAGCACGGGGTAGACCGTCCACCTAATACGAAGAAGAGAGGGGGGAGGAGGAGGAGGAGGAGGAGGAGGAGGAGGAGGAGGAGGAGGAGGAGGAGGAGGAGGAGGAGGAGGAGGAGGAGGAGGAGGAGGAGGAGGAGGAGGAGGAGGAAGAGGAGGAGGAGGAGGAGGAGGAGGAGGAGGACGAGGACGACGACGAGGGGGAGGAGGGGGAGCAGGAGGAGCATCGGCCGCCCGCTCTCGCTGCGACACCACCTCCAGCAGCGGCCGTCGCCACGATCGGTTGCCGGGCGAGAGCAGCGGTCGCCGACGCCTGCGCGGCGGCCAACACCCGCTCTCGGCCAGGAGCGGCCCGGCCCTCAGCGCTCGTGCAGCGCCCTGCTCTGACCCCGCCCTTTCGTCACGGTCCGCCTTCGAGGCCAGCACTTCTGCCTCTGAGGCTCTGCAGGCTCCCCCAGCGCGAGTTCTCGGCTCGGCCTTCTCGCGCGCCTCGGCCGCTCCTGCTTCTCGGCTCCCCGCAACGGCGTCTTCTGCGGCACGAGCTATTCCCCCAGCCTCCCGCGTTCTCAATGCCATCTGGTTATTCTCAGCTTTCGGCGGCGAGGCGTCTCTCTCGACCCTCGGCCGCCAATACCATCTCGCGGGCCCTGATTGCTCGCTCTCTCGCTTACCGATCAACCGTGACCCGATGCATGCGTCGTTGAAACACCTCCGCCATCCATTCTATCGTTGTCCTCGACGCAGAAGATACTTGGCGCTGCCATGCTCACAAACCTGCGAACGCCGTCAGAGACTGGTCTGTGGCATCGGCCCAGTATTCCTGGACAGCGAGTCTCCGCATTCGCCGAGAGCTCGAAGTCGACGGTCAGCATCGCTCGACCACTGTGACCGCCTTCGTAAACTAATTCCAGATCGGGTTGGAGATCTTTGCCCCCTGCCCCTCGCCGCACCGCGGCCAAGACGACCACTCCTGGACCTGCCCTTGCCGGAGCCCGATTGGGGCGGAGCGAACGCTTTTCAGCCGCCCTTTTCCGTTCCTGCGCTGGGGCCCAGAGGGCCACAGGGACTGGCGGGCATCCACCACCCACCGTTTGATCGTGTCTGGGAGCACTGGCGGGCGGAAGCTATGGCCCGGCGGCCGGGGCGCGGGAACCAGCGCTCGCACAGGGACTGTAAATCCCACCAGCCCTCTGGGCGTCGGTGGTTTAAAGAAGTTCCTCTTCCACCCCTCCTTCTTCCCCTTCGGGGAAGGGTTTATCACTGTTCCCTGTTAGTAAACACCCCCTCCCCCAGGCGACTGGGGGCCAACCAGGGTCCATGACAACACCCCCCCACCATCCCCTCGTAAAAAACAATACAAAACACACTCTGCCTCCAAATTCGGAAAATGCGCAGCCAACCCGATGCGCCCCCCCCCCCCACACCCCACCATCCCTGTCAAAAAACAATACAGAGTACACTTGGCGGCGGCGGCGGCTGCGCCGGCTACGGCGGCGGTGGCGGCGGCTGCGGCGGCTGCGGCGGCGCCGGCGGCGGCGGCGGCGGCGGCAGGGGCGGCGGCGGGCGGCGGCGGCGGCGGCTGCGGCGGCGGCGGCGGCGGGCGGTGGCCGGCAGCAGCAGCGGCGGCGGCGGCCGGTTGCAGCAGGGGGCGCGGCGGCGGCGGCGGCGGCGGGCGGCGGGCAGCGGCAGCGGCGGCGGCGGCGGCGGCGGCGGCGGCAGCGGCGGCGGATTGGCCCCCAGCAGCTGCCCATCCAAAGACGACTGCTGAATATGCAGAGGCTTGGGCCAGACCCGGGTGCTACGTATGTGTTGGGAAGGCGGGTGGGAGTGAGCGAGACGGCTTGCGGGGGGGAGGGGGTCTTGACCCCTCCCCCTACCCCCTCCCCTGGACCTGGAGGGGGGGGGACACGAGGTGTCAGGGAGTCCAAAACGACCTCGGCGAGGAAGCCAAAATCATTGATTGTACTATGGTTTTGGCCACATGTTGGCCTCCTGGGGGGGGCACTGCTTCAGATGATTCCAAAATCGCCTGAGAAAGCCAAAGATGATCTCCAAGATGGCTCCAGATACCCCAAGATGCCTCAAGATGGCGCCCAGGATGCCCCAACAGGCCCCAAGACCGCTCCAAGACGGCTCCAAATGGCCATAGGGCTCCCCCAGGAGGTCCCGAAGAGGCCAACATCTTTCCAAAACCTTTTGGGAAATCTATGTTTTTGGCTTTCTCGCCGAGGCCTCAAGATGGCTCCAAGATGGCCCAAGGGGGCCCCAAGAGCGTTCCCAAGGCTCCCAAGAGCGCTTCAAGAGGGCCCCAAGAAGCGTCCAAGAGGCCCCAGGAAGCCCCAACAGGCGCCCAAGAGGCCTCCAAGAGGCTCCCAAGAGACCCCCAAGAGGCCCCAAGAAGCTCTCCGAGGCACCCAAGACGCTCGAAGAGGCGTCCGGGACAGCCAAGAAGCCCCCAAGACGCTCCAAGAAGCCTCCACTGGGGGACCCTTCCTCTGTGTGCTGCCCGCTTCCCTGATCGAGGCAATTCCTCTGGGCATCGTTTCTGGATGGGCAGGTGGGGATTCTTGTTAGTCAGCGGCCGCAGGCGAGCGCGCCAACGGCGAGTCCTGTCAGGGCGGTCCGCGCAAAGACGAATTAACCTAAAGCGGTGGGCCGCAGCCTCACGCGGCACCTCGGCGGGGTGGCCGGCGAGTGGAGGGGGGCTCGCGGCGGCTGCCAGGGTAGCTGCACTGCCAGGGGTTGCACGCATGCAACGAGCTGCAATGGGGGGCTGACTGCCAGGGTGGCCGACTGCCAGGGTCTGCAAGCTGCTTAGGATTTTGATGCAAAGGCGTGAGCATCCAGGGACTGCAAGGGTACCAGGGTGGCCGCTGGTGGGGATTCGTTTTTTGGTCGCGGCCGCGGGCGAAAGCGCAAGCGGCGAGTCGTAAGTCCGGGGCGCGGGCCTACTAATTGACAACAGGAGCAAACTAAAGCCGCGCACCTAAACTGCCTAAGCTGCCTCAGCGGCACCTCAAGTGAGCTGCAAGCTGCGCTGAGTGAGGCCAGGGCCAGGGCAGAAAGCGCTCACAAAGCGTACATGCAAGCATGGCGGTGGCTGCCAGGGTGGCTGCACTGCCAAGGGTGCACGCATGCAACAGGCTGCAAGGGGCACCGGACTGCCAGGGTGGCCGGCTGCCAGGGTCTTCAAGCTGCGAAGTGACTTGCATGCAGGGGCGTGACCATCCACGGGACTGCAAGGGCCCGGGGGGGGTCAGAGCCAGGTGGACGCACCGTCACGAAAAAACGGATGCGAGTGAATTGGGCAGCAGAAGCTGCGAAGCGGCCAAAATGGCGCATGAAGGCACCGCGATGTGACCAGGGTGGGCGCCTCAGAGTGGCCCAAGAAGCCAGCCAAGGCCTGCCAGGTGCGAGTGGTGGCGCCAGCAAAATCGCACACCCGAGCCCCAGACAGAGGGGGGCGCAGTCCGCGGTCGACACACAAGGGTTGGCGACAGACGCGAACAGACGGCGGGAGGGGGTACAACGACACTGCAGCCGAAATCGCGGACGCAGCGTGGTGGAACCACGAGGGCGCCTAGGCTGACCTGGTGGGGATTATTTTTCGGTCGCGTCCGCAAGCGAAGGCGCAAGCGGAGTCAGGAGCGCTACGGGTCACGACAGCGGCCTAATTAGCAGCTAGACGCGCCGCAAGCCGGCCGGCCCACTCATACAGCAGCGGCTGACTGCGCGGGAGGAGCTGCAAGCTGGGGGCGTCCAGGGTGCTCGAGCACTTGCAACACGGCAAAATGTTAGTGAATTCAAAAGGTGCCGAGTGGCAAAACCCAGCCTGGTGGGGATTCGCGAAGCGTCAATAATTGATCGATCCACCTGCACTGTCCCCCAGGGCCCAGATGGCCGGCGCCCGAGACCAGAGCGCCGACGACGGCGGCTTCGAACGCCTCGGCGTCGAAGCGAAGGTTCCTCGGCATGCCTGTTCCGTGCACGTAGTCTGTCGGCCAAAACTTTCTGTGAGCTCCGTCATCAGGCAAGGCCGGCTGCCCCGCCAACTGAAGCTTTTCTGACCACACGAACATGGGGGAACGCGATCCACCGGCGCTCGACGGGCATTCCCTCCCCGCGGGGGGGGGAGCGCAAAATTCCACGCCTCCCCGCGCCACGCGCGAGGAGGGGACGGCGGCGGCTCTCACCGAGGCACACTGAAGAGAGGTGTGGGCCGAGGGAGCTTGTGCTAGAAAACCATGGGCGAAGCAGGCCCGGAGGCGGTTGAGGATGACGAAGGCTGAGGTCGCAGACTGACAAAACGCGTGGGAAACTGAAGTATGTCTATACTGTGGCTCTCAGCGTGGACCCCAAACTGTGCGACGCTGCATTGCGGATGCTTAAGCAATGTAGTTTGATCTATGAGGTGTAATATATGTGGTGTGCATCATGAGGTGTAAGCTATGTGGCGCTATGCGTGTCGAGCACGATGTGTGTGGTGTTGGCTATGTTGTGTAAGCTATGTGGTGCATTACATGTGGTATGAGCTGTGGTGTATGTGGTGCACTTTGTGTGATGCAACATGTAATATATGTGAGGTGTGGTGTGTGGTGTAAGCTAACTACGTAGTGCAATCTAAGAGGTGCAGTCTATGTGGTGCAAGCTAAGAGGTGCAAGTTGCATGGTGCAAGCTATGTGGTGCAAGTTTCGTGGTGCAGTCTACCTGGTGCACGCTGTGCGGTGTAAGCTATGTGGTGCAAGATATGTGATGCAAGCTACGCTGGGCGGCAAGCGTCGGCTGCGGCACCAGCGGGTGGCGGGCAGGCAAGGCCGACGAGCGGCGGACAGGCGGCGACGGCGCCGGCATAGGGCGACGGCGCCGCCACCCCACCGCGGCGGCGCCTCCTCCCCCTCCTCGGAGTCGTCGGCGAGCTCCGC